GTCCTAAAATCTCAAAATTATTGTCCCCAAGTGCCAAAATTGGTGTCCCAAAATCAGCATCCAAAAATCCCAAAATTATTGTCCCAAAAATCCCACAATTGGTGTCTCAAAATCCTACAATTGGTGTCCTAAAATTCCAAAATTGGTGTCCCAAATCCCAGGGATTTGTGTCCCAAAATCTCAAAATTATTGTCCCAAAATCCTGAAATTGGTGTCCCAAAATCCCAAAACTGGAGTCCCAAGATTGGTGTCCTAAAACCCCAAATTTGGTGTCCCAAACTCCCGGGACTTTCCCCCCAAAATTCCACAGATCTGCTCCCCAAATTCTCACATCTTTCCACCCCAAAACCACCCAAAACACCCCAAAACCCCCCAAAATCCCATAAAAACCCCAAAAAACCCCAAAAAACCCCAAAAAACCCCAAAAAACCCCAAAAAACCCCAAAAAACCCCAAAAAACCCCAAAAAACCCCAAAAAACCCCAAAAAACCCCAAAAAACCCCAAAAAACCCCAAAAAACCCCAAAAAACCCCAAAAAACCCCAAAAAACCCCAAAAAACCCCAAAAAACCCCAAAAAACCCCAAAAAACCCCAAAAAACCCCAAAATTTGGGGATTTTTGGGCTCCCCACCGATTCCATCACCGCAGTTCTGCTCGGAGGTGGGCGTGGAGATGGCGTAGCCGTTGTTGCGGCAGAAGAAGACGATGGGGAGAACCAAAACCCATCAAAACCCCCCAAAACCCCCCAAAACCCCCCGAAATCCCATAAAACCCCCAAAACACACCCAAAACTCCCCAAAACAAAATCCCCTAAAAACCCCAAAACCCCCCAAAAACCGCCCAAAACTCCCCAAAATTTCGGGATTTTTGTCTCCCCACCGATTCCATCACCGCGGTACTGCTCGGAGGTGGGCGTGGAGATGGCGTAGCCGTTGTTGCGGCAGAAGAAGACGATGGGGCACTCGAGCGTGGCGGCGAAGTTGAAGCCGGCGTGGGCGTCGCCCTCGCTGGCCGCCCCCTCCCCGAAATAGCAGACCACCGCCCGGCTGGCGTCCGCGCGCTTGATGGCGTAGGCGGCGCCCACGGCTGGGGGGAAACGGGGGGATTTGGGGAGAAAAATCCGGGATTTTTGGTCTGGGGGAATGGGGGGGAAACGGGGGAATTGGGGAAAAAAATTGGGAATTTTTCCTCTGGGGAAATGGGGGAATTTGGGGGAAAAAGGGGGAATTGGGGAAAAAAATCTGAGATTTGTCGTCGGGAGGGATGGGGGGGTTTGGGGGAAAAATGGGGAATTTGGGGAAAAAAATCTGGGATTTTTGGTCGGGAAGGATGGGGGGGTTTGGGGGAAAATGGGGAATTTGGGGAAAAAAATCTGGGATTTTTGGTCTGGGGAAAAAGGGGGAATTGGGGAAAAAAATCTGGGATTTTTGGTTGGGAGGGATGGAGGGGTTTGGGAGGAAAACGGGGAATTTGGGGAAAAAAATCTGGGATTTTTGGTCTGGGGAAATGGGGGAATTTGGGGGAAAAAGGGGGGGAATAGGGGAAAAAAATCCGGAATTTTTCATCTGGGGAAATAGGGGGATTTGGGGGAAAAAGGGGGGAATTGGGGAAAGAAAGGGGGAAATTTGGGGAAAAGATTGGGGAAAAAAGGGGGGAAATTTGGGGAGAAAAAGGGGGGAATTGGGGAAAAAAAGGAGAAATCTGGGGAAAAAAAGGGCAGAAATTTGGGGAAAAAAGGGCAGAAATTTGGGGGGAAAAAGAAGAAATTTGGGGACAAAAAGGGGGGAAAAAGGGGAGAAATTTGGGGAAAAAAGGGGAAATTTTGGGGAAAAGAGGGGCGGAAATTTGGGAAAAACGGGGGGAAATTCGGGAAAAAAAGGGGGAAAAACGGGGGGAAATAAAGGAGAAATTTGGGGAAAATTTTGGGGAAAATTTGGGGGAAGAAGGGGGCTTTGGGAGGGGTCACCTTGCGGGATCTGCGTGGCCAGCGGCGACGAGATGGTGACGAAGTGGCGCTCGGGGCAGCCGTAGTGCACCGGCATCTGCCGGCCCTTGCCGGGGTCGCGCGCGTTGCCGTAGCACTGCGCCATGAACAGCTCCAGGG